AAAATTGATGTCCTCTATAGAAGTTCCACATGCATGTCATAAAGGCTAAATCATAGATGTCCACCAGAGACGTCATGTGGGGATCTCTCTCTCTCACATAAACATGTGGTTATCATAGTATGAACGTCACACATACATGTCACACCACAGAATACACACCTTGGATATCATACCACAGAGGTCAGGGAGTAACTCAGATAGCATCAGGGAAACAACCAGTAAAACTCAGCCTGAAACCAGTTGGTCTCAGAGCTGGAGGTTCGGAAGGCGTGTCCAGTGATTGTGGTGTTTGTGTCTATATGTTTAGTGCTGATGGAGGTGTTAGGGCTCAGGAGGCTAGGAAACTTCATGGGGTGGGGGACCCTGGGTGGAGTCTAAGTGCTGTGGGATGCCACGAGGTGGTGGAGGACGATGCTGGGTCAGTACATATGCAGAAGTGAGGGAGGGGTTTGGAGGTAGGACGTCTGCACTTCCTGAGACCACGTGGTCAGCTTTGGTTTGGGATCATCTCCCAATAAGAAGTTGAAGCAGGGCTAGAGAAATGGCTCATCAGTGGTTAAGAGCATTTACCGTGCAGAGAACACGGATTCAATTCCCGTCACCTACATGGTGGCTCACAGCCATCTGTGATTCCAGTTCCAGGATAGCTGATGCCTCTTCTCACTTCCATGTGCTCCTGAACGCACACGGCACACAGACATACGCTCAGGCACACTCACATACGCATGGAGCAAATAAACAGTTAAAAATTAAAAAAGAAGGTGAAGCCCCTGGAGACCAACACTTGCTCTAGGGAACAACAACTAGAGAAGCAGGGCCATGCCCAGGAGGAAGAGTGGGCCGGATCCTACTGGTCTCATTGGTCAGTGGACGCTGGAGTCCAGAAGACTGGACGGTTTTCTCTATCACACATTACTACCCTGCCCCTGAATTTCAGGGTTGCCCAGCTCATCGTGGTATACACGTCTCCCCTGTGCCTCTCCTGCCCCTCCTCCTGGTAGCCTGTGTGGGTTAAATCTGACCCCAGAATGAATCCCATACAGTCTGACTAGTAGACCTTTGGAGGAGACTTGGGATAGAGCTCACTACTGGTTGGCTGAGGTTTTGGCATGTTGGCATAGACGGGGAGTGGCATTATATGTAGGAAGGCTATGAATTGTAGGGACCTTAAGGTCATTGTTAAAGGCTAAATTCTGTCCCCAGCAGATTCACCAGTTTGGCATTTAAGCCACCAGGACCTCAAACTGTGCCTATGTTTGCAGCCTGTGGGGACACACGGAGAAGGCATCTACAAGCCAAGTAGAGCCCTGCTGAGAACCCATCCTGGTCTGGGGCTTCTACCAGGGCTTGAGACAATAAACATCAGTTATGGAGGCAGCTGAATGAATCCCTGTCCTTTGCTGAATCCATAGCAGCTCAAGGTCACTGAAAGGCACATGCTTCTCAGCTGGTGTAGGAGGCTTTGCCTGGCCAGCCTGGGGGTCCCCTGGGCTTGGGCCCTGCTTCCCAGCCCGCCCATGGGAGCAGGGCAGTCTCCAGCGGGGAAGAAACTATCTGCAGGGAGGAGGTGCCCAAGCTTCTGGTGATTCTGGGTGGCAGGACTGGAGTCCAACTGTGAGCGACTTGCCGAGGGAGGCCCCGGAGGACACAGGACCAGGTGGGAGGTAGAGGGGCCTGCACGGCTGCTCGTCTGGGCATCTTGCTTAGTTTTTGAATGTCAGGGCTGACCCATACAAGAAGGGCACAGTGAGATACAGATTATTAGAAGAATGTTTTATTGTTGAAAATACCTAAACAACAGCAACACACACACACACTTGCACACACAGAGACCTTAAAGACATTTATAGTCTCCAGAAGGAAGAAGCTGTTAAAGGTCCAAGTTCTCTAAGCATTTCCTGCCAGTCACAGAAGGGCAGATGCCCACACTCTCATCCTGTCTGGAGACTGACTTCTCATTGGCCCTGAGAGGTGATGGAGAAATAGACACAGGGCTACTGTCCCCTGGCCACAACAGCCCTGGTACCCCAGCTCTGTTTTCCTGCCTGACTGGTGTTCACTGCTGTAAGTGGTCCAGTCTGGACGCCAGGCCGGCAGGGCAGGTCTGCCGCACTGTGGCTCGCTTTCAGTCAGCCCTTCACATCTCTTCCCTGCTACTCCTTGGCAGCCTTCTTTTTTGGTGAGGGGTGCTGATAGCAATATTCTCACCAGAGCCCTTTCCTGGAGGGTTTTTCTGGTTGTTCATCCAGCCAATACTCAGTGGTCTCTGCACTTGTCCCTGCTAGGGCTTCGCAACGCAGTCCTTCTGAGCGTCTCCCCAGAGTGTGGCTGGGATCTTGATGGAGGTGGCAGTGGCCTTATCTTTAGGTTTTGTTGTTAACGGTGTCCGTGGGTTGGATCCTGCATCTGAGAGTCCAGCATTTTAAGCGGGTAGTAGGAACAGGGGCCGTGCAACTACTCTTATCTCCAGCAGGCACGTTCCAACAGTTTGAGAGACACAGGCCCTTTCCTTGGCCTAGGGGTCACAGAAGTGCCAGGAAGGAAGCTGCCCAGGCATAGCGGGCACAAGGGTGCCGACATTCAGTGGTCTCTTTTGGGCTGTGGTGACCCTCGTCTTCTTAACACATGTCTCCTTTCAAGGATTTAAAAACTTTCTCCTTTCTGGAAAAACCCCCTTCAGAGGATGGTGTGAGCAAGGATAGCTCCAAGGCTGGTCCCCAGCACAGCTGGGCTCAGGCAACGTGGGCTCCCAACTCCTCCTGGGCAAACATTCTGAGGTCTCGGATCCCCTGGCGCCAGTTTGAAGGGAGATGGTCCTTCTGGCTCCAACCAGTTAGTTATCTGGCAACTGGCTGTGGGGGGTGTCGCCCAGATCTGGGACAAAGCCTGCTGTCTGCATGGTCCTCCGAAGGGTCAACAATTGAGAGTGCTGATTCAGAGCATCATAGGGTCAGAGGGTGGTGACGTCAGAGGGCAGTGTGGGCTCCATGTTAGCTTCCATAGTAAGATGGATGGGGTTGTGCAGGGCCTAGGAAGCCCTGATCATCCCAGAGGAAGTGGCCTAGGCCCCCTGCCCAATCATATTTCTGTAGTCAGGAGAGATTGCTTGCTTCAGCTCCACCACTGAGGAGAAGATCCACTTTACCTGTGGGGAGTTGAGAGTAAGTCAGAGACCACACCCAAGCTCAGGCCCTTCAATCCTGTGGATGAGACAAGGCCCCTCCCTCCTGCAGTTCCTTTCATACAGGTAGGAGACTGGGGATGGCAAGGGGCCAGGCTAGGATACACGAGCAGACAGTGTGGAGACACTGTGGGGGTTGAGATTGGGACAGTGAAGCTTACACTGGGCCTTGGTGAGTTTAATGGGGACATCATTAAGGGGGTAGTGTGATATTGCATGGGGCAATAAGGGATATTGTGAGGAGCAGTGTGGAATACAAGGTGTGTCGAAAGACAGTATGGGGATGGCACGAGGATCACACAGGATGTCACGACAGACAGAATGACAGACAGCATGGGACACTATGGGGAGTCACAGAGAACAACGTGGGGCAGGGAACGGTGGGAATGGTGTGGGGACAGAGTACGGACAGCAAAGAAACATCATACGCCATCAGAGGAGGAGTGTGGGGACAGTATGGGAGCAGCGTAGGACACCACAGGGGCCAGTGGGGGAGCTGTGCCGACCTTGAAGAGTGTGACCGTGGCACTGTAGCACACGCTGAGCAGGAAGAGGGTGATGAAGATGGTGATGGTCGTCCAGAGCCCGTCCAGCTCCCCGTCCAGGGCGTCAGCACAGTTGTCATCCAGTTCCAGCTCTGGACAGAGAGGGACAGTCAGTGTTTGTCCCAGCAAGGTGTAACCGGGAGGGATTCCCTATGTGGCAAGTGGGTCTGCATGGAGGCAGAGGAGAAAGGGCCAGCTGGGCTGGGCCAGCAGACCCTCCCTGGGGCCGGCTCTCAATCTCAGTTCCCTTCAACTGCCTTGAGATTTGCCAGACACAATGGACCTAACAGTAGCCTGGGTTGTGCAAAGGCTTTTGCCTCATCCTTCATTCCTCAGTGCAGGAGGAGTAGGGGCTGTGATCACAGTGGGCAGTGGCTATACAGCCTGCCTAAACCTTTGCTTGTCCCCCCCCCCCCCCGGTGCCTGGTCATGCCTGGAAAGCTCCACAATGTGAAGCAACCCAGACCATATGGCTGTGGGCTGTATAATTTGTGTGGGATTGAAACATGACCTTGAGGTACCAGGGACAGATTTGTCTCCAGAGGACTTGGGTTTAGCATAGAATGCGGGAGCCTTCAGAAGAGGAGAGTTGTGTTTGTTTGTGGGTGCACAAATGTGGACTGTAAGGTGGTGGGTTGGGGGTATCGTGATGCATTTCTGGGTGTAGCTGTTATTCAGGGCACACAGATAAGGTCCCAATGTCTTATGTGTACCCTGCGCATGTGCCTGTGTGTAATACGCCATACGGACTGGGTGATGTGCAGCAGCCTGGTTTTGATGGGTCAGGCTTCAGCATGCATGTGTCTAGTCATCTCTCTCTCAGGGCATAGGAGTGAGTGTGCACTGGGTGGCCAGTGTCCTATGGCTGTGCAGACCTAGCCCGTGCAAAGCTTGCTGAGTTGAGTGGAGCGATGGCAGGGTCTTTGGCATGCCCAGCGCCATTGCTTGCCTCTGCAGTGTACTCAGAGAAACCCCTAGATACGGAAGTGGGGGAAGGGCTCCAGAATAGACTGAGAGAGGGGAAGTTTGTGTGTTTTCTTCCTTGGGGGTTTCCTAGGTATATTTCTCTGCCTAGAAGCTGCTGGTTAGTGGGAAGGCAAGGAAGAGGCACTGTCTAAGGCTAAGCCCTGGCACCCCAGGTCAGGGAAACTCATGAGCTCTGGTTCTGGAAGTGCAGAAACCTCATTCTCTTCTTAAAGACAACTCAGGCCTCAAACCCTGGCCAGATCTCACAGCGCACGACCTAGTCTCTATATCCTGGAAAGAACCACAGCTTCAGAGGGTCCCAGGGTAGTACTGGGTGCTTTATTTATATAAGGGAAGGGTGGAGAAGGGTGCCAGTGTCCCTCAGGACCTAAGAGCTTTCCGGGTGCTGAGCTCATTTACCCTGAGACCGGGAGATGGACTTCGTCGTCTGGCGGCTGTGCAGAGCCTCATGTAGCACGAAGCAGGTGAAGCTATCTCCCCCATCCCACCTGCTCTTTGGCACAGTGAGCTTGCTGTACATGAAGTAAGAGCCTTCAGAGTCCAAGACAGGTGGGGTGTTCCTGTAGTTCTGCTCTTCCTTCCCGTTGCTCTGCCACTCTACATGGATGTCCTCAGGGAGAAAGCCTATGACCAAGCAGGTCACACTGACCTCTTTCTTGGTCATCTGCTCCGCAGGTGGAGGAAAGGTATAGACCTGTGGCATTCGGACTTGCCCTGAGGAGTTAGAAGTAAACAAAGAGGTCATTCAAGTGGAGAACTGTCCATCTCAGACCTCGTTCTCTGAATATATCACACACCTGCCTCACTAACACGACATAACTCACCTTTGGGTTTTGAGATGGTTTTCTCAATGGGGCTTGGGAGGGCTTTGTTGTTGACCTTGCATTTGAACTCCTTGCCACTCATCCAGTCATTGTGCTTGATGGGGAGGACACTGACCACACGGAAGGTACTGTTGTACTGCGGCTCACGGGGCTGTGTCTGAGCTGTTTTCTCTTCTTTATTGTTCACAAACCAGCTGAACTGGACATCTGGTTCTTCCTCACTCACGTCCACCACCACACATGTAATCTTGGGCTCCCTGGACATCATGAGCACATCCTTGGGCTTTGGGGGGAAGATGAAGGCGGATGGTCCACCCAAGAGATCAGGAGCTGGATAAGAGATGGAAATGGGTCAGTACCTGGGTCACCTTCCAATGTAGGATCACTCAGGGCACTTGCCATCCTTCTAGGGCTAGAGCACAAGGCCTAGTGACTTACCTGGACACTTCTCACACTTAGGACACAGATCAGGTACCTGTCCATGTTCTCTGCGCTCTGTAGAGAGAAAGCTGGATGTTACTGGAGTTTGGAGGAGAGAATACACCAAGCCATGGAGGGGAATGTTTGTTCCTGGCATGGGGTTAGGCCAAGTTGCTTCTGGAAATGATCCTTGGTGGGTTGAGACCTGAGGGCCATTGATATCTATCTCAGGGGATCACTCCTTGGGTGGGATGGGAGAGAGGCAGAGACAGGATCTCCCCTTGTTCTGGGCTGTGGTCACTTCCCTGGCAATGGCTGCCCAGCTTGGTTGGTCTAGGTATGCAGATAGCTTAAGACCCACCTCTAGCAAACCCCTCCTCCCTTGCTTGTTCTCTCACCAATTTTCTTGTCCACCTTGGTGCTGCTGGCCGGGTGGGCGACATTGCAGGTGACGGTCTGACTGGGCCACATGCTGGAGGGCACAGTCACTGAGCTGCTGAGGGAGTAGAGCCCAGAATCCAGGACTGCTGGGAAGATGTGCACGCCGCTGGTCAGGCTTCCAGAGTTCCAGGTTACGGTTGCCGGCTCAGGGAAAAAGCCTTTGACCAGGCATCCCAGGGTCACTGTGGAGCCAGTTGTGCCTCCACATGCAGGAGCCAGTGGATAGACAGATGGGGCTGTTGTTGAGGCTGCAAGAGAGGGGGGGGATGAGTGAGCTTGTCTGACACAGGTGGGCTCAGATATTTGGAGAGACCCTGGCCTTAGATTTGCTCTGAAGTCTGTGTATTCTTGAAGTTTCTCTGAGTCAAGTAAGGCCAGCAGCTTCCAGTTCTAGATCCTGGACTCTGACCTTAAAGATCTTTTCATGGTGAGGTCTCCTATGGGGAGTCTAGAGTGGATGGAGGTGGTGTGGGGGAAAGGCACCTGATAGTGCTAATACTGCCAGAACCCAGAAAAGTTCCTTTCTTTTCCCAGTGGCCCTTGAAATAGTTGGATAGGCTACTATCCCTCTGATTCTGATTCTGGTTCATTCTTCTTTTCTTTTTAATAGCATATTTCTTATTGTATGCTTCAAAACTCATATTGAACAATGAGTCTGGGTTGCAAAAGAGAATTTAGTTTTGTATCTTTCTTCCCCACCTTTGTTTTTGTTGAATAAAACCACACGCAAATGCTATGATTCATTCTTCTTATCCCCAGCAGCCTTTTGGTCTTCTCTCTACCTTCTCTGAACCCCTACTGCAATCCCCTACTCAAGCTTCTATAGTTACCTTACCTTTCTTCTGTGGGTCAACTCTGGGCACAACTCATTCTTCCATAATAGGTCTGACAATCCCCCCCCCCCGCCATTTTATATTGCCATAAGCTCCCAGGATCACAGCGAGGACCTCTGATACTGGAACTGTAACTCACAGGCTCACAAGACTCCAGCCCCCATGTCGGTACTGGACCTGGCTCCCCCAGCCCCACACCAACCCAGCTCCTCAGTAGCTTCTTCTGAGTCTTTCATACTCTATCTTCTCCAACACTCCTGTAGCTACACGGTCTTGTCGTTGACACCTCCCAGCTCTAGTTCCCCTGCAATTGCTTGATCCCCAGAGCTACTGGGGCTTCTCTGAGCCCCAACATTCCCATCTCTCCCAGAGCCCTTGTAGCTCTGTTCCGGTGCCCTAGACTCCTGGGGCTGCTCTGGGACCCTGACTTTGATACCTGCCCTCACTCCTATCTGCTTCAGAGTTATCCTAGTGCTTGATCTGGGTTTCTCTGGACCAACATCAACTCTACCTACTGCATACACTGTAGCTTCTCAGTCCAGCCCTCCACACCTCCACAGCCCCAGATCTCCAGTAGCTGCTTGGCTCATTCCCCCACACCACCACCAGTCCTTACTCCTCGGAAGCAGCTTGACCTGCTTCCTCTCACAAGGACGTGCGCTGTAGCGGTCAGCCTCAAATGCCCATAAGGTGCAGCTTTCCTGTAACTGGCTCGGTACCCCAAATTCTCAACTACTCCACCCACTCTGTGGCTGCTTATCCAGTCTCCCACATCTCACCTGCCCTAACCCATTGTAGTTGCTTGGTCTTGTCCTTCATACCCCAACCTGCTACAGCTCTCCCATAACTCCCAGGTCTGATCCCTCACACTACCACTACCCCAGTTCCCCCAAAGGAGCCACATCTGGTCCTTTACACCCCCACCTGTCTCAGCCCCACTAAAGCTTCGCAGTGTAGTTGCCTGAACTTACAGTGGCTAGGTCTTGTCCCTCACATATGTCTGCCTCAGCTCTCCCATAACATCTAGGTCTAGTCCCTCAACCATCCACCTGACCCAGCTCCCCATAGCATCTAGGTCTGGTTCATCACACCCCCATCTGTCCCAGGTTTCCCATAACTGTCAGGTCTGGCCCCTCACATCCCCAAAAGTCCCAGCTCCCCCATATCTGCTAGGTCTGGGCCTTCACCACCCACACCAGTCTCAGCTCCCCCATATCTGCTAGGTCTGGACCCTCACACCCCTACCCGCCCCAGCTCACCCATAGTTGCCAGGTTTGTTCCCTCAACCCTCATCTGCCCCAGCTCCCCACAGTAGCTAGGTCTGTTCCCTTGCACCCTCACCTACTCCAGCTGCCCTATAGTAGCTAGGTCTGTCCCTCACACCCCTACCTGCCCTAGTTTCCCCATAATAGCTAGGTCTAGTCACTCACACCCCCACCTGTCCATGCTCCCCACAGTTACTAGGACTGATCCCTCAAACCTCCACCTGATCTAGTACCCCAAAATTTGATAGATCTGGTTCCTCAGACACTTACCTGCCCCAGCTCACCCATAACTGCCAGGTTTGTTCCCTCACACCCCACCTTCCCCAGCTCCCCCACAGTAGCTAGATCTGGTCCTCCGCACCCCAATGCACCCTCATCTGCTCCAGCTCCTCCAAAGCTGCTATTTCTGGCTCCTCACACCCCTACCTGCCCCAGCTCCCCCACAGTAGCTAGGTCTGGTACTCCGCACCCCTACCTGCTTCAGCTGCCCCACAGTATCTAGGTTTAGTACCCTGCACCCCCACTTGCTCCAGTTCCCCAAAACTGCTAGATCAGGTCCCTCACACCCCAACCTGCCCTAGCTCCCTCACAGTAGCTAGGTCTGGTCTCTCACACCTCTACCTGCCCCAGCTTCCCCACAGTAGCTAGGTCTGGTCCTCCGCACCCCCATCTGCTCCAGCTCCCCCCAAGCTGCTAGACCTGGCTCCTCATACCCTTACCTGATCCAGCTCCTCCAAATGCTAGATCTGGCTCCTCACACCCCTACCTGCTCCAGTTGCCCCAAAGTAGCTAGGTCTGGTCCCCTGCAACCCTACCTGCTAAAGCTCCCCCACAGTAGCTAGGTCTGGTCCCTCGCACCCCTACCTGCTACAGCTCCCCCAAAGCTGCTGGGTCAGGTCTCTCACACCTCTACCTGCCCCAGCTCCCCACAGTAGCTAGGTCTGGTCCCCCGCACCCCCACCTGCCCCAGCTCCCCCACAGTAGCTAGGTCTGGTCCCCCGCACCCCTACCTGATTCAGCTGCCACACAGTAGCTAGGTCTGGTACCCTGCACCCCTACCTGCCCCAGCTGCCCCACAATAGCTAGGTCTGGTTCCTCAAACCCCTACCTGCCCCAGCTCCCCACAGTAGATAGGTTTGGTCCTCCACACCCCCATCTGCTCCAGCTCCCCCCAAGCTGCTAGACCTGGCTCCTCATACCCTTACCTGATCCAGCTCCTCCAAAGCTGCTAGATCTGGCTCCTCACACCCCTACCTGCTCCAGGTGCCCCAAAGTAGCTAGGTCTGGTCCCCTGCAACCCTACCTGCCCCAGCTCCCCCACAGTAGCTAGGTCTGGTCCCCCGCACCCCTACCTGCTCCAGCTGCCACACAGTAGCTAGGTCTGGAACCCTGCACCCCTACCTGCCCCAGCTGCCCCACAATAGCTAGGTCTGGTTCCTCAAACCCCTACCTGCCCCAGCTCCCCCCAAGCTGCTAGACCTGGCTCCTCTTACCCTTACCTGATCCAGCTCCTCCAAAGCTGCTAGGTCTGGTACCTCACACCCCTACCTGCCCCAGCTCCCCAAAAGTTGCTAGATTTGGTGTCTCACACCCCTACCTGCCCCAGCTCTCCCACAGTGGCTAGTTCTGGTGCCCCGTACCCTCACCTGCTACAGCTCTCCCAAAGCTGCTAGATCTGGCTCCTCACACCCCTACCTGCTCCAGCTGCCCCAAAGTAGCTAGGTATGGTGCCCTGCAACCCTACCTGCTAAAGCTCCCTCACAGTAGCTAGGTCTGATACCCTGCACCCCTACCTGCTACAGCTCCCCCAAAGCTGCTAGGTCAGGTCCCCCGCACCCCTACCTGCCCCAGTTCCCCCACAGTGGCTAGTTCTGGTCCCCCGCACCCCTACCTGCTACAGCTCCCCCAAAGCTGCTAGGTCAGGTCCCCCACACCCCTACCTGCCCCAGCTCCCCCCCTCAGTGGCTAGTTCTGGTCCCCCGCACCCCACCTGCTACAGCTCCTCCAAAGCTGCTAGGTCTGATCCCTCACACCCCCACCTGCTTCAGCTGTCTCATAGCATCTAGGTCTGGCCAATCACACCCTCACTTGCCCCAGCCCGCATACAGTAGCTAGGACTGGTCCTTTCCACCCCCACCTACCCCAGCTTCCCCACAGCAGGTCTAGTACCTCACACCCCCACCTGCCCCAGCTCCCCCATGGTAGCTAGGTCTGGTTCCTCAGATCCCCACCTTCCCAATCTCCCCTACAATTGTTAGATCTGATTCCCACAATTCTTGGGATTATTTAACCTTCTCCTTTGTTTCTGACATCCTGCAGTTGCTAAGCTTGGCCCCCTCAACTCCTCCACTAACCTCAGCTTTCCAGTAGCTGTTTAGTCTGCTGGCCTCTCCCCTGCTACCAGCTCCAGTTCCTCGGTAGCTGCTTAGTCGCGTGCCCTACACTCCCACTTGCCCCAGCTCCCTATAGTTGCCCAGCCTTGTCCCTGCAGCTTCTGGAGCTACCCTGCTCTTATTCTGCCTGTCCCAGGTGGCACCCTGTAGCTGTTCAGCCTGGTATCCCACACCTCCACTTGCTCCATCCCCCCATATGCCCACCAGCTACCTCGTAGCTACCATCCTTGGTTCCTCTGTAGCTGCCCAGCCTGGTCCCACAGCTCCCGGGGTTGCCTTGTTCAGCTTTCATCTACTTTAGACCTCCTGTAGCTGCTCATCTGGGTTCCCTTTACACCAGTGTTATTCACTATACTCTCCTTTTTAACTGCCTGGCTTGGTCTCCAGGCTACCCTAGACCCCAGTCCTTTCATCTTCTGTAGCCCTTCAGTTACTGCTCTGCCCTGGTCTCGAGCTACTTGGCAATCCTGAGCTCCCAGTACTCTTGCTCCATTCCTTCTGTAGCTGGACAATTTGGTCCTCACATCTTCAGCCCCCTCCAGTTATGCAACCCTCCCCAGCTCCCTTGTAGCTGCTATGACTGGTCCCCTAAGCTCCTAGTACGGCTCTGGTACCCAAATTCCAGCAATTGTCACAGTATCCTATAGATGCTCAGTCTGCCCTCCCAACTCTACTTGCTCTGAGCCTCCTGCGAAGCTTTTCCTGGTCCCTGGGGTTTCCCTGGATGCCTATTAACCTCACTTGACACAGCTCCCAC